GCAGTTTGGTTCTGTTAGCAGTGAGGTTATTTTAGCAGCATGGTACTCTTATGCATTTAAACGGTAACGTCAAACCTTCGTCTCTTGAATTAGCTGAACATTTTGAACCACAAATGGCTAAAGTAGCTCAAGCTGCAGTTTAGAGGAACACGTTTTTAAGTAATTAAACATTTATCATTTATTTATGGCGCATGCTGACAGACCAGATGTTTACACGTCTGTCGCTCACACCGAGGGTCCGACAGTAAAGAAATCCCATCAAATCCTTCGTGTGGCCGGTGAAACCCGTTGGGGACGGTTAAAGCTCGGCTGACCCTCGCCGTTCTTGGAGTGGAATAAAATCTTTGGTCGGAGGTCGGTTTGGCGGATCTGAGCGGGCGTGGTGATCTGCGTCGTCTTTCCCAACCACGTGACTGATTTGTTTTTCTTTTAATTTTTCTAATGTTGCTCTCATCAATGAGAAACTAAACTTGTGTTGATTTTTTCCGAGGAGTCCGTATGAGGGAGAGGGTCGGGATGAGGGCAGCAGGTGAGACACAGAACGGCCCGTAACAATCCTAAACCCGCCTTTAATCCGCCCCCCCAGATCAGTAGACCAATCAGTAGTGGGCTTGTTGTGCGTGGATAAGAGGGTGGGGGCTGAGCTGTAATTGGGTGGTGATGGTGATAATGGTTGACCCAATCAGGGGTGGGGCTGTAGCAGGTGATGGTGGTGATGGTTTGGAGCTGCATGGTGGTGGGGGTGTGTGTGGGGGTGGGCAAGAAAATCATCATTTAGGCACCGACGTGTGTTTGTGTGGAACCTCACCTACGTAAAGCCCTAATTGCTTTTGATCTGAAACACAAATTCACACACAGGTGCTGACCCTCCTGCTGCCCACGGGTCAAAATGCCCCACAGGGGTCAGTTTGACCCGTGGGCAGCAGGAGGGTCAGAAGTTTAGCTCGTCTTCATCACACATCCTCATCATTTTTGTTCTTCCTCTCGATTCCTCCTCTGCACGCCCTCTTCTTGTCCCGACTTTTTATTTTATTTTAAATCTCTCGTTTCTGAAACTTGTTTCCTCTCTTTGCTCGCCTCCTCTCCCTCCCTCCCTCCTTCCTTCCTCCCTCCCTCCTCTTTGTTCGCTCCTCCTTCCTGTCCCTCCCTCCCGTCGCTCCACGCAGGTCTGTGCTGAGCAGTACTGTAGACAAGTCGGAGAAGACGTCCGGCGGCGTTCTCTCCTCGTCTTCCAACAACGACGAGAACAACTCCTCACCGGGGTCTGGCAACACCGGTACATCCTGTTAACTGTATACCTGTTTGTAGTGTTAGCAAAATATCTTGTGAACCATTGTACATATTTTAATGAAGCTCTCAGAAAGTAATCATTGGATGTACTCGACACAAACAACTCATTCAGCTTTGGGGTCAACCCAATTCAAGATGGCTGCCACAGCTAAGCAACCTCTTCAACACAGAAATAGCTACAGTTTAGTTTTACAGATATTTAGCTAAAGTTTGGTGTGGAAGTAGCTGAGAGTCATACCTGATGACCTGAAAAATAAGAGGTACCGACTTCCATTGGGGTGTGTGGCTGTGACTAGGTATAAGAAAGTCTCCCTTTGGAAATTGGGTTGCCAGGTCAAAATCTAAGATGACTGCCGCCATATTTGTATATTTGTTACCCTTGTGAGCTGGAGAACTTCAAAAATAAGCAAAGTGCCAACATCCATTTTGCTGTGTTGCTGAATCTAGTAAGAAAAATTACTACAAAAACACGTCAAAATCCAAGATGGCCACCGCCATATATAAATAAACTGACCACCCTGATCATTTGGGACAACTATACCCTGTTAACCCGCCCAGGGAACGGATCTAAGGGAAACACTGATGTAGTTTATATATTTCTTCAATGTATAGTTTCCTCTAATGACTGGGGTGGCTGAAGATTAATCTATGTTGGCTAAGGCCACCATTGACCACCCCATGGCTCCTCCCTTGAATAAGCTTACACAAATGTTGAGGTTTATCCACATTCCCTGATCAATTCCAGTTCAGAAAACACTTAAAAGCTACAAACATTAGTTTAAACCAGTGGTTCCCAACACTGGTCCTTGAGGAACACCATCCTGCATGTTTTACTTGATTACAACTGATTTGAATGAATGGGTGATTAACCAGATTCTGCAGAACTTGAAGAATTAAATCACTGAAGCAGGTGTGTTGGAGTGGAGAAACTGAAACATGCAGGATGGTGTTCCTCAGGGACCGTAGTTGGGAAGCACTGGTTTAAACGGTGTCTGGTATTGGTTCTCTGTATTAAAAACCAGTGTCGTCTCCTCCCCCTTCTAGGTGGCACCGGCACCCCCCCGGCCAACGCCAGCCAGAAGGATACGGCCAAGCCTCGCTCCCTGAGGTTCACCTGGTCCATGAAGACCACGTCGTCCATGGAGCCCGCGGAGATGATGCGCGAGATCCGCAAGGTGCTCGACTCCAACAGCTGCGAGTACGAGCTGCGCGAGCGCTACATGCTGATGTGCGTGTCGGGGAACCCGGCGCGCGACGACTTCGTCCAGTGGGAGATGGAGGTGTGCAAGCTGCCGCGCCTCTCCCTCAACGGCGTGCGCTTCAAGCGCATCTCGGGCACGTCCATCGCCTTCAAGAACATTGCCTCAAAGATCGCCAACGAGCTGAAACTGTGAGCGGGAACGAGCCGAGAGGAAGAGGCGTGATGGGTGGGGGGTAGGGGGCGGGGGGCACACTGAGGTAAGCTAAAGATTGTTGTGGAGGCCAACGTCTGAACGTAGAGCTGCCGGGTCTGAGACTACAAACCTTTTCTGATGGAGACTCAGAGCTGACCTCCCCACTGAGGGGGCGGGGCTTCAGTCTAAGACGTTCCACTCTTCTGCATGATCTTCTCTTTTTTTATTTTTATTTTTGTAGGAGTCACACTTTGATCACTTGGACCACTCCAGCGTTTCCTCCTATTTATTCAGTTTCTCTGCACGCTCTTCGGTTTTATTTTTGTGGGGGGGTCGAGGTGCACACGGGAGCCTTATCTTGCTGTTTTGATTCTGATCTTCCTGAGAAGTGAACGGACTCGAGCTGAGCCAGGACTTGTTGTTGAAGCACACACACACACACACATAATTAGATGGTTAAAGGACTCCACCTAATCGAACTCCTCCTCAGCTTCTCCTCCTGCCCTTGAACTCACCGCCCTCCTCCTCCTCCTCCTCTTCCAGCACAAACACATCCAACCTTTTCACTCCTTTTTCTCCGTTTTGATTTCGTCTCTCAGCGCCGGGTCCTCGGGGTGGGGGGCTCAGACTCGCCGTCGATCGTTAAGTTCGTACCGTTTTCGTTTGAATTACTTTTAAAGAGCTGTGCACTGGAACAAGAGGGGCGTCGTTGAACCTCAACGGAAGATTCTTGATGGATTTTATGTTGCCTTTTATTTTTAGAAAGAAAAGACAATTTTCGGGGGGAGGTTAGTTTTTTATAATTTCTTTGTACTGTTTTTAATTATTTTTTTTCCCCCCTCCGGATGTTTGTCGGTATGACTCGATTGGCGTCACGCCTTCGGATCCAGAACCCCTCACGTTGCCACCCCCCCTCCTCTGTTACAGGTCCCAAAAGCAAACTCGCAAAGTTTTATGTGTATTATTAGAAGAAGAAGAAAAAGATCACTGGAAAACAAACAGTTGACGATGAATGGTGAATTATTTTCCTGATAATATATTTTTGTGTCGTTGAAATTTTGGGTTTGTACAGATTATTGGGGGGGGGGGGGGGGTGTCTCGGATCATATCGTTTGCTGCCTTTTTTTTAATTTTGGCGTAATGCACATTTAACTTCCTGCTCTGATTTAACACCAACTCCCCGCTCAAAGTGCAGATTATTATTTAATGATGATGATGATGATGGTGAGGGCTACTGCTGATTGATTTCTGGCCTTTTTTAATTTTTTTAATTTTTATTATTATTAATATGAATATGAATTAAAAGCCTTGTTGGTCCAGAATGGCTTGAAGCAAAGAGAGAAAAAGGATTCTTGGTTTCTCTCGGATCAGAGCACTCGTTCACGCTCCCCGATCGCTCGCCGCGTTTGATGCTCAATAAAATAAAATCAATAAAAAATATAAAAGGGGGTTGAAAAAAGCTCGTCAGGTTGTCGTACCCAACTCAACACTCTTCTTTCTTTTCGTCGCGATGACAACGTTTAGGTTTTTTTTTTTTTCCCCCGTTCGGTTTTTACGACGTCTGGATTTTTCTGTTGATCATTGTTTTACGGTGCTGGGTGTTGGATTCAAATTATTATTATTATTATTCAGGCTGTTCTCTCTTTCAGGGCTGATTTTATTTTACAAATTTGTTGTTTTACATTGCTGTAATTTACGTTGATTTAAATGTGTTTTGAGCAAACTGTAACTGTAGTGGTGTTTTGTTTTATTTTTTTCCGGGGGTCGGGGTGGGGGGGGGGATGATCAACTCCTTAAAAAAATGTAATATTTGTTCTTTTTTTGTGGAAAGACAAAATGATGAAAAATTACAATGATAGTAATAAAACAATACTATAATGACGGCCTGGCTCTGAATGTTGAAGATTAACTCGTCGACGTTGAACAGAAATAATTCGTCTTCTGAGAACAAACTACCGTATTTTCCGGCGTATAAGTCGCAGTTTTTTTTCAAAGTTTTGCCAAATTAACTTACTGTGTTTTCCGCCCTATAAGTCCGTTTTTTGCATAATTTACATGCCCTGCGACTTAAACGCCAAAGCAACATATTTATAAACCATTTTCTACACGAGATGTGACCGTTTTCATCCTTTTATATCAGTGAGTCGTTTTGATGGAATGGTCGTTGTCTGATATTTAACTTTATCGCTAATATCGACCGATACCAATACCATGCCAATAATATTGTCATCGTGTTTTCCCAAACTGGTTCTCTGCATTTAACCCATGCGCCCCAGGTGGAGCAGTCGGCAGCCGTTGAAAGCGCCGGAGGAGCAACTGGTGTCTTAGCAAAGACGTGCTCACCTACAGATTTGTGAACAATGTTTGAGAGAAAAAGTCCTTTTGTACACAAAATAAATAAATCTTTGAGTTCAGCTCATGGAAAATGGGAACAAAAACAAAAGTTGCGTTTATATATTTTTTTCCGTGTATGTGTTGGACGGCCATCTTAATTATGAGGAAACTGCTTTCTAGTTTTTTTATTTAAAAGTAGTTTCCTCAAATGGTTGGAGGTGGTTGGTGCATTGGTAGAAAATTCATCGATGGTGGCCGTCACTGAGGAAAATCAACTTTCCTCTGTTCTCCAGTGTAACCCCTCTCCACTGGAACATCTCGCACCAAAAACATTAAGGCTCACCTGCATCCCGTTCCAGACTCGCTCATCAAATCCTTCATCGGCGTACGCTTCGTGTGCATCTGTGGCTTTAACTCTAAAATAAATGACTTTTTACGAAGGTATGCTAAAGTAGTATGGACACGTTTGTTAGTCCCTTAAAAACCGAATCTGAAGGGACCAGACACCGGGTAGTTTGACGTTTACAGAACTGAACCTGGAGCAGAGACCGTCACCGTCTGAGGAGCTCAGGAGGAAGATCGTTGGTCTCCACGTTAAAGGTAGAAGCTTCATGTTCCACTCACCACAGCAACCAGTTTAACACGTATATGGTTTGAGACTGGACCACAGCTCAGAATGTGGACGCATAAGGAAATGCGACCCCGGGTTCATTAGAACGGATGAAGAGCCAAGGAAACCATTCAGAACCCGACAAACTCACCAGAACGTATGTTGAGCCCCAAAGTTTCTGGGACTGACGGGGTCAAACTGAAGCTTTTGGCTCCGGTCACATCAGTAGTTTGTGTTTTATTGTGGAAGGGTACAAAAAAAAACATCCAAACTGTTCTGGAAGAGCTACAGCTAGCTGCCAACACAGTTAGCCTTTGCAAATAAAACTAATGTAAACATTAATAAAATTAAGTTATTGATGTGGTTTTAAAACTGCAGCGATCCACTTTGATCGTGTTCCACTCGAACTCGCCGTTCACTCGAACATCCAGTCAGAATTCAGAGCCATCTACAACAGGTAAGACAGTGTTTGTTCATGTCCTGTTCACAGAACCCTTCCTGAACCGACCCGTTTTAATTTAAAAGATCCTTTGAGCCTGGTTTCAAACAGGATGTTGGTGTTTATTCTACACGTCAGCAAAATATCATGTGAATCACTGGGTGAAACCTCAACTGGTTTATTTTGAAGGCAACACAATTCAAAATGGCCGCCACAGATGATCGCAGCTCTAAGTCGGTCAGTTTGACCAACGATGAGCTAAAATTAAAGTGGTAGTAGCTGAGAGTATTCCATAAGACCAAAGGTGGAGATTTTAATCAGCTGATATTTAAAGTTCGTTGATCAGAAACAAACTGAAACATTTGGACTTTTTAGTTTTGAACAGTCGGTTCCGTCTCCACGATGTGAAAAAGTTCTCACGTACAGAACGAACGTAGAAAGAACAAATATGGTTTTTACGACGAAGGAGCAGAACCTGAACGCTTCATGGAAAACAACAGGATGAGGATGATGAAGACACTTTCAAACTAAATTAAATAACTTCCTGAAGACGAACGCGTCTCGAACAGTTGGACGTCCCGTACATTTGTTCAAAGACGTGAATGAAAAAACGAGACGATTGGAAGAAAAGACGGATCATTTCCTCCAGATCACCTTTGACCTCTGACCCCTCCTGGCTTTGGACCGGACGCTGAATCCACGACTAAACCTTGATGTTTAAGTTTATTCGTAACAGACATTTGACTCCTCCATTTACAGGAAACCAACAAATTAAAACTTGAGTTATCGTGGACCGTGTGTTTGGGACCAGAGTCGTGTCCGGCTGCAGGGCTTTAAGCTCCGCCCCCTTAGTCGCAATCATGGCGTCACTAAAAAAAAACTAACGTCAACGTTGTAGCAATCAGGAAAAAAACGAAGCAGACATTTTGATGTACAAGATGATCTAAAGAAACGTTAAAGCTGCTACAGGTTGTCACCATGGTAACCACACTCCTGTGTCTCACTCCCTGACTTGTAGGTTAACTGAAAACAGTCGCTGTGTTAAAGGCAGAACTCTGAGTCTGATGGTCAAACATGAATTTTAAGGTTTTTAGTGTTTGATGTAGAAGATATAAAGTTCAAAATAAAAACTTCCTGCTTTGAGGAGCTTATTTTCAACTGAAATCTGCAAGTCGGGGTGAGCGGCCATTTTGGAGGGATTACAGTCCTAAATCGGTGAAAGAAGACAAAACTGCTTTTGTTTTGAAATTTAAGCTGTACAAAATTAAAAAATGGAAGTTGTAGTAGTGAACAGTGCAGCAGAGGATTAGAGTCGCAGTGCTGGAATTATTTTTATCCTCAATTCTGAGATTAAAGTCAGGAATCCATTTATCTACCGTATCTTCCACCGGATAAGTCGCATCACTCCAAATATTTCTAATAAAGCAGAAAAAACAAAATAACTCGCTTCGCTGTATAAGTCGCATCAAATTATGCGTCACCGCCGACCACCCGGAAACGTGGGCCAGTGTTGTGCCGAAAATCGATTGGCTGCCAAATGGCGGCCGTGCACGCGAGGACTTTAACAAGAATTTAACAAGACAGACACTTGAAAATAATTATTTGATCGACGTTATAGTAAAGTTGAGTCTCAGTTGAACTTCTCCTTAATAAATTAACTTTGACGGTGAAATGCAGCTGATTTGACGTTTGCTCCAGGAGTTCTGGAGCGAGGCAGAGGTGGCTCTGTATGGCAAGCCAAGTGCCTCATTAATAGACACCTTTACCTATTAACGAGACACTTTGCTTGCCATATTAAGTCGAGGGCCCTCTAGTGGTTGAAAATGGTAGTGTTCAATATTTTCCATGTCAGAATGAATGAAATTGTCAGATTTCAGTCAAAAATTGGATTATAAATATGGAGTAAAATAAATAAGTTGCAGGGTATGCAAATGAGGAAAAAAAAAGTGTGACTTGTACGCCGGAAAATACGGTAATTGACTTTTTTTTTTTTTCAGAATTAAGGGGGAAAAATAGTTTTTGCATCATGGCCCTAATCTTCTTCCGTAAAACAGTTTGTTTGCAAACACTGGAAAAAAATTAAAAAAGTAGAACTTGACACCAAAGTCCAGCAGAACCAGTCACTTCATGTGCAAAGTTCCGTGGCCCGTTAGAACTTGAAAGGATTCTACTGTGAAGTCCGTCTTTCGTGCTGCCAAAAGTTCCAGCACGTTTATTTTTGATGGAGCTGAACGTTTTGATTACTGTCACGTTTTTTTGTTTTTCACCGTGGACTCTGTTCATGCTCTTGAAGGGGGCGGGGCTTAAAACCTTCCAACCTGATCTGGGATCAGCCTGCGGGGAACGTTGGTCCCAAAATGGACTCTTCTGTTGCCGCAAGGAATCAGCTTTTAGACAGGACGTTGGCGAGGCGTAAGAGGTCAAAGGTCACATCCTCCACACAGATGTGGATTCAGTTCTTTTTTTAAATCAAGTCCAGTTACAGGTTTTATTTCGGCTCTTTGTTGGTCAGTAATAATTAAAGAACGATCTAAACTACGAACAGTAACTGGAGTCGGGCTCACCTTCGCTCCTCCAGGTAAAACTAACACCACGTGGAGCGAGGAGGAGATCTCTGCCTCCTCCTTTCCATTTTTTTTCTACAAAAACAAAACGATGGACCCAGCCGGGTCACAGAGGCTCGTTTCTCTGCAAAAAGTACCTTTAAGTTTTTACTGGATCCTCTGAGGATCTGAAAAGTTAAAGCAAAACTCAGGAGGACCGACTCTTCACGGGCTCAGCTCCTCTTCATCAGATCTCCTTTGTGTGTCCTGCACCAAAGACCACAGCTGTCCTCCATCCAGATGTTCAGCAGCTGGAGACGAGCAGGTGTGCAACAGCAGTGTGTGTGTGTGTGTGTGTGTGTGTGTGTGTGTGTGTGTGTGTGTGTGTGT